AATATATCATATTTTAGTATGAGAATAAGGAAATTTTAATGAAGTTTTGGATAGAAATTCCAAAGTGTTGGAAGAAATGTGACCTAAATGCCTATGCCACAAATCAGAAGAAATAGTGACAAGATTACAAGAGGGTTTATTGTTGGAGAAGGATTGTTGAGTAGCCAACGCCACAAGGTAGTAAAGTCCCTCGCGCTGTTTTCCCAGACCAATCGTCTTCTTTGTAGCCAAGTCCTGTAAAATACACCAATATGGAAAAAATGTCACTGAGCAACTAAAACCCTTTGTAATTTTGCTAATCGACATAAGATCAACTTTGAAACTAGGTACACCCAAAACATCTCTCAATTTTATGTATGAATTTAAAGACAAATTGCCAATAGAAGTGATATGAGCCTTTCTCCACTAGGTAAGACAACTGGTGGCAGTGAAGTTTTAGTGGTGGAGTTGAGCAAGTGTGGGGAAGATGTGATGTGGTCCGTTGCTCCACTATCGATTAACCATTGACGAGAGTGCCCTGGAAATCTAGACAGAATTGGTTCACTGCTTGTGGTATAAGCTTGAGGAATGGTTGACGACGGCTTGGTTGCTTTATTATTCATGATGGAAAACATTTGTTGAAATTGGGTTTTTGAAAACGATCTGCACCAGGTCGCATAATCTTCTCCATTGGAAACAATGATGTGAATACAAAATGGATTAGAGGGTTTTGGTTTTGCCTCCATCCGAGCTTTGGTCGTTACCCATGGCTAGGATTGACGACATGAAACAAGAAAAATGAAAGGTAGAAAAGGCTCGCTGTATAGGCACGAGAAAATCTGCCGAAAGCGTGGCAGAGCTAAGGGAAGCCTTGCTCTAATACCATGTAAAATCTAATCAAAATGACTGACAAATAGATTTGGCCAGAATGAATGTATTGATATTAATCTACTAACTTTATATAGAGAGTTCCCTATAAACAAGCAGCTGATCCTGCAATATGACTATACAAGAAATGAAGGAAGTATATACATATTAATTACTTATTACATGCCTATTCTAGGCCCTTCATGATAGGGATTCTGATTGCTTTCAAACAATAATCCCAGCTTTATAATTTCTTTTGATGACATGTCGATTAACTTCTAACATGTATTGATTTCCCAGCTTCTAAATTTCTGTAATTACGAATTCGATTTGAGTGTGCTACATATGTGACCATATCGACAAATGCTATGGAGACTAAATTTATAGACTAAATTTGCAAACTAAATGATGTGTCACCAATAGATTATGAGCACGCTTATCAACGTTTAAGTAATAATCTAATCATCAACTTCCATATCATTTAGGTTACAAATTTAGTCTCTCTAGCACTACTCATTGGATAATGTTTGAGAGGTTGGTTTTATGTAGTCAAGCTAGATGCCATTTGCCTGATTGTATATTTGAAATTGGATTATCACAACTTCGAAGTTCCAACTCACACACAGAATAATAATTAAGGGGCCGTTTAATAATCATTCCGTTTTAAGTTTTAATTTTTTTGTTTCACTTTTTCTAAAACTAAAAATTGAAATCTTATTTTGTGTCTACTTTTAGTTAAAAAAATAAAAAATAAAACTCAAAACTTCTTTTCTGAGTTCTCAAAATTTGGCCTCAAGTTTTCACTTTTTAGTTTTTATTTTTCTTTTTAATTGAAAGTAGTTACTATTTTTGTTTTTCAAAAAAGTGAACACTGAAAACAATAATCCAAAAACAAAATGATTATCGCTTGACAACACATTCTTCCTGAGGAGGGAATATGGTTGTGGTTGTTTACTTGTTTCCTTCGTGGTCGAAGGGGTTGGTTTTTTTTTTCCCCTCAATTTGAATACTTGCCCGATGAATGTGAATTCTTAGGAAAAAGTATAAAGAATTCGTCGGGCAAACCCCACACTTCATCGAGCACTGTTAAAAATTTTCCCTGATTTTTTTTCCTAGAAAAATCGAATCTCCCTCCAAATTTTGGGTTTGCTCAACGAAATCACCAAAATCTTATCGACCAAAATGTTTTTCCCACAATTTTTTTTTTCACCAAAAGGTTATCAGTTTGCAATTTTTTAAGAACACTTTACTCAACGCAATGGTTCGTTTGTGCAAAAATTTAAGTTTTGCCTGAGCAAACATTTTTGTTGGCTAATAGTTGTTCGTCGGGCCAATTTGGACAAAGCCGACTTGCTAGATGAATGATTAGCTGGTGGTGTTGTCGAGAAAGGTGTACTTGCCTGACTGTGTCTAGGATTCATTGGTTAAAACGTCTAACGACGAGTTTTGCCAACGACCTTTGCTGGACGAATGTCCGTCTCTCGTAAATATTAAGAGACGAATTGCTTCTTTAGAGGACGAACCCCAATAGGTTATTTCATAGTGCTGGGGGATAGACCTGACATTCATGTCGTGTTTTCTGTGTTTGTGTCGTTTTCATGACATATCCGATATCTTAATGGGTCATGTCATGTAACACCCGTTAAAGTAAACGTGTAATATGACCCGACCCGTAATCAACCCGTTAATATTATCAAGTAATATGACATGATCCATTTTCTGTTAAAGAAAATATATTTTAAATCAAGAAATAATGAAAATGAAAAACATAATTTGAACAAAAAAATTGGAAAACATAACACTAAATTAGTATATGCATACCACATTATCACATAATTATTACTTCAAAACATTAAAAAAAGAAAAAATTTGTCTTTCAAGTATTACATACCCCAAAAATAAGAGGCTAATGAAAAAACATTAGTACATTACTACAAAATACCAAATGTTCAAGGATATGCAAAATAAAGAGAGTTGTGTTTCAAGATTGAGGATGCAGTCACGAGCATTTATATATGCTTTCACATTTTTCAAACTTGTATATAAATGATTATGAACTTTATTTATTTTGAACCCCTTAGAAATACTATTCATGAGGGTTTGTATGGTTCTAAAAATTCAAACAGCGATGTACCCATCTTCAAAGTGTAGAGATGTGATCACGAGCGTTTGCCTATATTTTCATATTTTTCGCACTTGTAAATTAATTATTGCAATTTATTAATGTGTTTGATATTTTTAAATTACTTGATATTTTAATTTTAATGTGTTTTATATTTTTTTACTCTCACTCTTTCCTTACAGTATACTATTAAAATAAATAAATAAATAAATAAACTTAAACTTTTTAAATTTATATAGAATAATCACACAATGATACATATTTGATGTACAATATATACATATACACTACGTGTCACATCCCGGCCCGGGTCCACCACATCCTGGGCCTGTTCCACCACCGTAGCATGATATTGTCCACTTTGGGCTTACCATTCCCTCACAATATTGTTTTTGGGAACTCACGAGCAACTTCCCAGTGGGTCACCCATCTTGGAAGTGCTCTGGCATCCTTCTCGCTTAACTTCGGAGTTCCTACAGAACCCGAAACCAGTGAGCTCCAAAAAACCTCGTCCTAGGTAGGGATGAAAATATACATTTAAGGATCACTCCTCTGGGCGATGTTGGATGTTACAATCCACCCCCTTTAAGGGCACGACGTCTTCGTCGGCACACTTCTGGCCAGGGATTGACTCTGATACCATTTGTCACATTCCGGCCCGGGTTCACCACATCTTGGACCCATTCCACCACCGTAGCACGATATTGTTCGCTTTGGGCTTACCATTCCCTCACGGTTTTGTTTTTAGGAACTCATGAGCAACTTCCCAGTGGGTCACCCATTTTAGGAGTGCTTTGGCCTCCTTCTCGCTTAACTTCGGAGTTCCTACGGATCCCGAAGCCAGTGATCTCCCAAAAGGCCTCGTGCTAGGTAGGGATGAGGATATACATTTAAAGATCACTCTCCAGGGCGATGTGGGATGTTACACCACGGCTATTGTATTTTGTAATAAGTTATTTTAATAGTTTAAAAAATTAAAACCATCAAAATAACATTTTTATTAACGTGTTGAAATGGTTACCCGAGTGTCATCCTTGTGTAAACCTGTTAAGAACCCATTATTAATGGGTTCTTATTGTGCGACTTAATAACGACCTGATTAGTTATCATGTCAACCCGAAACCCATTACTTTCTTGTCGTTTACGTATTGTGTTAATGGGTCGTATACGAAATTGTCAAGTCTACCGGGGGATGGCCACCTTTGGCCTTAACGTGGTCCACCCTTTCTTGGATTTAGGAGTGATTCGGCATGTGATCCCAAATCGAAAATAGGATCTCGATCCCAAACCAAAAATTTTCGGGGCGGGAATTTGAAGTCCAATCCCAAACCAAAATTTCAATATTCCCAATTTTTGGGATTCCTAAAATATTTTCGGTATTTCGAGATGGTTTGGTATTCCCAAATTTTATACAAATTGAAATAGAAATTATTCATACCAAGTTAAATTAACATGCAACCAAAATAAAATAAGTAACAAACCCAAAAACAAAAAAATAAGTTACAAATCTAATATGTTCGAAAACTAACAATACATTTTTTTTGATATTGTGTTAGGGAAATAGACACATTTGTGGGCGGTTCGTACCAGCAAATGTGGCAATAAAGGGTTACGGTTACTACCTGTAGACCAAACCAATTATATTGCTACTAGCAGTTAGCAACAATTCAAATGTGTGTGTGTGTGTGTGTGTGTGTATAATATTTATTTTTGGTTTGGTATGAGATTACCAAAAGATTGAGTAGAGAATACTGAATCCCGTACCGAAATTTCGAGATCGGTTCGGTATTTCATCTCGAAAATTTCGGGAATTTTGGTTTGGAACTTTTTTGGTTTGGGATTAGAATTTTTTTGGTTTGGTTCGGGAATTTCAAGAATTTTTTCCAGCCCTACTTGGATGTGTGTTAAATATATCAATAATGTCTCAAAATTGTATTGTTTAATATTATTTGAACAAGTCATTTAGTATAGTAAGATTTTTTTTTTCACTTGTAACTGAGAAATCTTAAGATCAAATATTGAGTCTATCGAATTCATAATCAATTTATTCTCCCACTCCTTTATTATAAATATATTCATCACATTTTATTTGAACAAGAAAACGCGTTACACCCAAATATTATATTATTTTAATACATGACATACTTAGATTAAGAGTGCACACAATTTGTCAACATGCATGACTCATGGACACACAAACCATTGGACCATCCTCTGCCAAGCTTGGAGATCATTTGAACATGGAAGGAGGCACCTGTGGAGCAACGGTTGGTGGCCCAACCCAACCTGCATTATACAAACAAACACAAATACAATTGCTATGTTTAATAGTTGATAAATTTAAGGCAAAATATATAACTACGTGCTTGGCGATGACATATACATATACATACATACATACATACATATATATATATATATATATATATATATTCGTCTAGTATTAGATATAGAACCTGCGGCGGGATCGAATCCTCTATATTTGAGCTCAGCATGTTCTTGGCAAAGAGCACATGATTCGCAGCAGAAATGAACACAACAATCACAACAAGGCTCCTCAGGCAAACCATATTTTTGGCGTAATTTCTCTCTGTATATGCACGAGTAGAACCAATGGCACTGAATCGTCCACAACAACCCGTACACTATGGCTTGGTTTACGCAAGCTAAAATCATAAAATACAACCCACAATCATGAATTCCAATCATTGTTGTATACATGCATTTAGGTATTTTTTTTGGCTCTTGTGACACTTACAGCTTTGTCCTTCATCCACAGTTTCAGCAATTTGGCCGAAGGTGATGCATGGTAGAAAACATGCTATGCAACCTACATCACACGATCCATTAGTAACAACAATTGGGTTGGCTTTGTATATATATAAAATGAAGGGAAAATTGCACAAACACCATCTTGACTATTATCGGTGTGCGCAAATATAATCCAAATAAAAAATCTTGTCAATTTACTACCTCAACTCGTGTTTTAGTATGAATATACTACCTTAATTGATTTTCATTAAAAATTGAGTAAATGAGTCATCTACAATATAAGTGAGTTCTCTTTTCAGAGTATTTTAGTCACTTAAGACCTCTAGCTAGATGACTTTAGAGTAAAATTCAGTTGAATAAAGCTTGTGAGACATCAAGAATTCATACCCGATGTTGTCTATGAATCTATGGGTCTTGGTTTGGTGCAAATATACAAGAAAAAGTGCTATTTCTGCAACACAGGATGGGCCTTGATATAACTTATAACAAAGATTGACAATACATCTGCACTAAAATTGGATATGGGTGGTGGGAACCGAGGAACTGAGCCTAATGATCAAATGATTCGGGCTATTTAAATCTAATTCAACAACTACAATTATTATAATTTTTAGATGATCTTGTTGTTTGTAGTCGTTATATAAAATTTCAATGGTCTGAATTATTTGGAGTAGGCTCAGTACCTTTAGGACTGGAGGGATTCGGTTCCTGGGTGGTGAACTTGCAAAATTTTTCCGCTAAACTACAAGACCGAAACATTATAAATAAGCACTATCTTTGGTGGCACATAATGAAGTTGCCAAAGCACTATCAGGGACTCGGTGTCATATAATAGTACCGTTTTCTTCTAAGCATTATTAGTGACTAAAAGTTTTAGCTACCTATCGATGACTATTTTGTACCGTTTTCTTCTAAGGCGAGCAAACAGTTGAATCTTATTAAATACAATAAACAAAAATTATTTGTGCCATACAAAGAGAGTATATGTCTTACATGTAACAACATCTTCTCCGCAGCTACAAAGGCCACCGGACCACCTGGGCTGCTGAGGTTGGTGGCCATAATCAACATTCATTTCCAAAAGTAATGCAGAAAGCTTAAGATATCGTTTAATCAAATTTGAGAGAATTTAGTTTAGTGATTTTGATTGCAAGGTTCCTAACATTTGGAATTTATACTCTCAGATATCTGGCTCCAGGTCAATTAGAAAGATACATTTGTCTCTGGGAAGTCCGCCTACGAATTGATTAATTGTAAGTATGCTTTCTTCTCCTGGTATAGCAGGCCATATATTATTAATTACGCTAGTTGAAGTCAACATTTTGTTCTTTGTTTTTGTTTTTGTTTTATGTCCGTTGTAAAATTGTTAGAGCAATCGATCGAGAGTGACAATATATATTGATCAACACGGATTGGTTTGTTGCATAGGGTAATGACAAGGTGTTGGATCCATTGTTGATTGCGTGAATCACTATGGACAAGTTGCCCGAATATGTAAGAATTCGTCTTATAAGTTTATCTTCTGCATCATATTTAGGGCTGGGGAAAATTCCCAAAAAAACCTGAACCCAAAATCGAAATATCCAAAACCGATCTATACCAAAAACCGAAAAATCAAAATAAAAAAATAACCGGAAGTTTCGGTATGATATTGGGTTTCCATTAAGCATTTGTTCAATAATTCCAAACCGAACTGAAAGAATTAATACTAGCCGTTGGATTTTGTTGAGATTGGATCTCAACCGTTTGTTTAAACTCAATTCTCTACCTACCTCACCTCAGTATCTCACACCCTCTCTCTCGACTCCGACGCCTTCTCTTTCTCGACCTCTCTTCACTTTCTTCTCTGGCTGTCAAAACGCCAGCCACACCAGATCACAGTGATCGCTAACCACACCATACCTTGCCCTCAATTGCAGTGCAAGCGCGAAAAGCTTGACCCTAGACCTCTTTCCCCCTCTTCGCAATCTCGAACCAAATAACTACCACCACGTCGTCAGTTCTCTCTCTCTCTCTCTCTCTCTCTCGACACCATCTGGGTACGCTCTTCTCCATGAGAGGATAAACTGTCTGGATACCCAAATGTGGATGGGTTCGGTTGCTCCAGTGTAACTAGCTGCACGACAACCTATGTCGGCTTTCTTATAATTAGCCTCAATAGTCTCTTCCTGGATCCCTAAACTAGACTTTGGTAACTAAATGATTTTGGCATGCGGCCTCATCCGCATGAATCCTAGCTTCTTTACCTGGAGAAGCATAAGTGCAATACATTCCCTAAACTGCAACCCACGAATACCCACACAATTGCACATGCATGTTTGCTGTAACAAGTTAGCGATTTTTGTGTAGTGGAGATGTATAAATCTGTTTACCTGGAAAATAGTAAACAACCGTAAGTAGCCAAAGATTGGAGGGTGTGTGCCAGGCAAAGGCTCTCCGGTGGTCAAGTTAATAAGTAATATTATGAGACTCAATCCCTAGACAAGAGAATAAGCGTGCGATAATTGCGTCACCATAGATAACCCTAGAAGGGTATATTTATACCAATTGTGATAAAGAACTTTTAGGATAGGGAATTCGTACTGAACCAGAAGAATCCCAGATGATATCTAGGAAATAGATATTGCATCCACTTCGGAGTGTGATTATTTGCTGCACACGCCAAACCTTATATTGTAAGGATTCCAAGAATATAGGAAACCTGTTAATTCCTTGCTGGGTTAGGTTTTCGTATCGTGCGGAACAAGTATGGTCAATTTCAGCGAAGTTGTCGGACTTCACCAACTGCACCAAAATTGGATGATGGTGGCATCACTGCTCCGTTTATTTAGCTCTGCTGGGAAGCAGTTAAGTCTATGACCAGACTTCCAAGGTGTTCATATTCTGATTCGTCTTCCTCTGGCCCTGGAAACTCCTGTTCCCATAATTACCCTTAACTGTATCTGAAAAGGACTTGTGACATATGGCATCTTGGCTTCGTAACCTGCTCATTTTTTACGCTTCGGATTCAGACATGCTGGCTTGATGTTCGCGGCGCTTAGGTAGTAATGACGAGGGATGTCATGTTGTTTGTGCACATTTAACAAGGGGCCGCTCTTTGCATCTTCAAGTGGCTTCAACTTTCAAACCCGTGAATCTCTAGGTGAGGTTTCTCGAATTCGACAATGAGATTTTCCAGTAGTTCATCTTTAAATATCTCAGGCTTGGCTCTATTTCTCAAAGTCCTTCATTATGAGTTCCAAGCACAAACATGGATCTCCTGTTTCTTTTATGCCTTAGCCTCTAAACCCAATATCCACTTTAAGCCTTTGATGATTAGGATATGTTACTAAGGATTTTCCACATCCTTATTCACTCTTGTCGAGAAAGATCAAGTGAAATATGGATGAGCCTCAACCTTTCAATAGCTAACCTCGATTCCTTTAACGTGACCCACAATCTCCATACTTTGCTCCACAACCAAAAACGATATCTTCCTCATAGTCTTCGCATATGGGTTCAATTTTGTGGAGAGTATTACGATCCTTGAGAGGGTTCTTCTTCATTAGAGCCGTCTTAGTGTTTTATCAAAGTAGCATTCTTTTTTGGGAGTTCTAACGAAAAAGGCTTGACACTATTCATTCTTAATTAAAAGGACATTTTGTGTATGAAAAGTCCATAATGAATCATGTTCTTTTCTTTATTTACTCTTGTGCCATTACAGCAGGTCCACAATGATGTTGACATTTCTGTCTGGGAATATATTATTTTACATTATGCTATTAAACTTATGCTAATTTATAGCTAGCTCTTCAGGCTTCCATCATGTTGTCGATGTTATGCAGCTCTTCTTCTGTCAAATTATTCCAGTACTGTTCATCGCCCTCTACTAGCTCTGCATCTCTTTCTCTATCTTCTTTCACCTTGTAGTACATTTCTGCTGTTTCTTCTTTGAAAATTTGAGACTTCCAATAAGGCTGATGACTGATCCTTATCTTGCTGTAAATATACATCTCTTCTTCCTCTGCTACTAATATCATATCATATCTAAAATCTTCAAACTTATTTAAGGCATACATTTGGATCCCCCTAAATTTTAAAATATTTTTGTATGAAAGAGTCCACCTATGTGAGGAGATAGGAGATAGTCTAAATGACTCTTCATTAATTATGGCTATATGCCTAGCTTTCTCTTTATGCATATGTACATACCAATCTGGATGACCACTAATAAAGCTTATGCAAATTTCTTTCCACCTTTCCATATAATCTTCTGCTACTTTTATAAGTTTTTCAGGAAATGATTCTAGTTGAGAAATACGGTTAATGAATATTTTATCGAGATAATCAAACTCTAATAGTAAGGTAGGGGTAACTTTTACCACATTATGCTTTTTCTGATGGTCATAATTAAAATGCCATGGTTTAAAATCTCTCATGTTAATCTTGGCCACAACTACGTTAACCTCTGGTTTACAAATATAATTCTCTGTACTATTACAAAGATATGGAGGATACATCTTTGTAATAATATCCATCCCTTGTTTTGGATTAAAGATGGATTGATACAAGGCTCATTGTAATTGTAATTGTAACTCTTTCATGGACTGTGATGCTCTGCTTAGGATCTCATTTTGCATATATGCTGGCATTATTCTTAGTTTTACCTTTGAAATTTCTTCTAATAAAATATCATCTAATATTAAGTCTAAAGATATATTTCTAAGAAAACTTTCATATTTTTCTTTTTTGTCTTTGTCATTCAGATGCTGATGCTGCTCATTATTTTGATTCTGCTCCACTTCAATGTCTTCTTCTAACTGATCAATTTCTAAACCTATCTTCAATTCTCTTTTCAGGGTGTCATTTGCCTTTTGCTGCATTTTAAGAGCTTGGAGTTCTTGATTCATTTTGGTAAACTTACTGAGTAAAGACTCGTGTTCTCTAGAGACGACTTGAAGGTTGTGCTCAAGAGAATGAATATGATGCTGGCTTTGATGGAAATTAAAATTAAAACTATCAAACTCTTGTTCTAAGGCTCTAATTAATTTTTCATGACCTAACCTCATGCTTGATTGCTTGATTTGTATATTCCAAAAACTATCTAAGAGAACCTGTTGCCTATCAGAAAGCCCTGGTGCTCTTGACTTATATCTCAGGATTGGATTTCTGATTCCTTCAACAATATTGCCATTCAAGTTGAAAGTAGGTACTGGTGGTGATGTTGGTCTGCTTATGCTACTTTGAAATCCACTGAATGGTGGAGGTTGATGGTGCATCATTATGATATTAAAAGAAGCTCTTCTGCTTTGCGACCTTGTGCTATTTGCTGATGATGGTCCACGATATTCTATACCTGTTCAACAAATTAATCATGATAAGATATCAGCTAATGTATTGTCATTACCTTTTATATGTTCAAAAATTGGTTTAAAACCATTTCCTGTAATTGAATCAACAAAATTAACCCATCTTCGGGCTGCCTGTTTATTAACATGTATCTTATTATAATGAGAAACTATGTTTTGACAATATGTTCTAATCGTAAATACTTCATTATGTAAAAATAAAGAAAATGCTTCAAGTGAATTAATTATCCCTAAAATTTCTAAATCTGTTGATGGTAATCTTGACTGCACATCACTAAATTTTCTGGATGAATATCTACAAACTTGTTCGTCAGTCTTTGGTGACTCTTTATGCTTTTTTGGGTATAATATACATGCCCATCCTAATGATGAAACATCTATTTCAACTATCTTGTGACTATCATCCAATGGTTATGTTAATGACTTAAGTTTAGTAATTTCTTCTTTATATTTTGAACTAATTTAATATCTTCACTATTAAAATATTTTTGTCCTGTTTTGCTAGTTTTATTATGTAATACTGCTATTTTTCTTTCTAAATCAGGGATAAATTTTCTTGCATAATTTAACAATCCTAAAAATGCTTGTAATTGTTTCTTATCTTCTAATTTGTCTGGAAATTCTAACATCTTTTTATCTATATGATCTTGTAATTGTATTGTACCTGACTTGATATACATTCCTAAAAATTTTATATCTTACTTTCTAATGCTATTTTATTTTTGCTAATTACAATTCCATTATTGATAAATTCTTGTAATACTATCTCTAAATGCTTCCTA